AAACGAATTGACCAGTATTTTTCTAGATACAACTTCGTTTTCAGGTCTGCTACACCCTCTGAATTGCAAACGGTTTCAAACGAAAAATACTCGTTATCCAAATTGTTAATATATGCATATACGTACATTGGAAAACTTTCGCCAAGCTTCACCGGAAATCGAAGAGCCGTGACGTAACAATCTTCCTTCACAACTACTTCGCTGCTAAAATATACGTAACCTTTCATCTCTCTGATAGAGACCAGAGAAAAATCTCCACGATTTATGTACAAGAACAAGTTACAATAATTTATTCTGCTTCTGGTTTTTGTTTCTCGACTGAAATAACTGAGATACAAGGAATAATTACCAGTCTTAAAAGCATGCCAGATATGAATCTTTTCTATCTCGTGTAACAAGTTTAGTGTATAAACACAAGATTGCAATTCTTCTTCATTCATGGCAAGAAATCTGACTTTTCCAATAAATGGCTTCATAACCCTTCTTATTGCATTCCTTTTTGATTCTTCATTCATCGAATGGAAGTTGTCTGCACCCAATTTTCTTTTAACTTCTTCTATGCTCCACTGATATACGGCTTGGAGTAAACGCAATTCAGTGACTGATTCATATATCGCTCGAGATAGCAGTCTGTTAATTGTTGTAATTCTACAGCACATAAAGTCGACTGTTGTAAATAGTCTTTCTCCGTGTTGGTCGAAAGCTCGCCAGCAATAATAAGTTATGTCCATGTCACCGATCTCACGTGCAAAATCGTGGATTGCACAGACGTTATGCAGATTTATTTGCCGAATGATAAATAATCTGCATTTCTTTCTTAAATTGTCTAACTCGTACCTTGAACTCAGATGATACAGGTCGAAAGCGTGTTCAATAGAGGTCAATCCAGGATCGTCCGTCTGTACATAACTGTTTAAAAAATATAAATTATAATGTATTACAAGGTATTGAAATTAAATGAAAGGTAAGTATCGTGAGAAACGTACGTAACGAATTGTCTAATGGTCTCGATTGGATAAGGCATAAACAGTACTTTCGAATTTTCAACATATGTAATGAGAAGTTCCAAATGCCTGTTGAAGACTTTATTTAACTGAGTCTCTGATATAATAATTTCTTCGTTTTCCTTGTTTTGGATTCGTATTTCACTCGAAGAAATCCTAAACAACAAAAAGGTATTTATTATTACTTTCAACAAACATTTCTACAAGCATCTCTGTTGTACTGTACCGTTCAGTACAACAGAGTAACGTACAGTCTGTACGTTACTTGTAGTATTTCCGACAACGATGTGTGGCACAATAAATACATTAACATCTATTTTTAAAATATTAGTCAAATTTCGTATTAGCTTATCATCTTGGGGTTTGATGATTCCGCAATAATCAAGTTTTATTTCCTAGGAGGTATCGTACCAGGAAACGCTGCATTTTTAAAAAAAAAGACATCTCTATTCTATGAACAGGAAAGTATTTCGGGATATTTCCTTCAGGAGAAGCGTAGCCCGAAATACAATCCTCTTAATAGAATAAAGGTATCTCTGCTTATTTTAAACGATACATTTTTTATGAACGTTCATAAATATTATTTAATTATCAATAGATATTAATACTAATATCAAAGTGACCTTTTGTTAATGTAAAGATTCTTGTGTATGTATATAGTTTTTGACAGATTATCGACGGTCCTTTTGTTAAATAAATGTATCTTCGATACTTCTATCATTCCCCGACTAAAATTAAATAGGAATTAACAAAAACAAACAAACAAAGATGTCTGTACAGTTAAATAATCTAGGATTCGTGTAGAATCCTGTAATTCTCCACGAACAATAATTGATTTTCCTGTACCTATCGAATTATGAATCTCTATGTGTATAGGTCATTGTATAATGTACTGTTATAAGTGACAATGCTAGTCCCAAACTGCAATATTCTGGAATTTTCCATTATTTTGTGATACAAGCCTAAACCTTGAAAGTAAAAAAAATCATTACGCTAACATAATATTAATCAATCAACATCCATTGTAAAAAAGTGATTGAACAAGTTCGTTAAGACAGGAAAGCTGGAAATATTTTCTCGACCCGAAAACAACTTACGAAAGTCTAATTTTATAAAGAATTAACAATTACATGTTATATTCAGTAACAGATGATAGAATCTTTAGGTCTTTTTTTTATCAAAACTTATTTCGTATGTTCTAAATAAACGGACATCGAAGCACCGTAATTAAGTAAAAATTAAATTTTGTCCTCGTGTGTGTCTGACATTCACGCAAAGCATAATTACAAGATTACATTACAAACTGAAGAAAACAGAAAAAGCCTTTAACTAATAAGTTATTAGTTAAAGAGACACCTAGCGCGTCTAATTGCATTGCTTATGGCTATTCCATGCCGGGTGGCTTCATGTGGTTCCTCGTCGCTTACAAAGGAAAGGAATGTATAAAGTAAAACTGTCGTACTTATACAGTATATTCATTCTGAACATGATTTCTTCCGCTTTGTAGACCGATAAATAATAAACCGGTCGAATAATTGAATTTTTCTGTATTGTTACTTGGTACAGTACTTTCATGTGAAACTTGTAATCATTGAACAAATGACGTTTATAAAGTGCTGCTTTAACACGTATTAGATCTAGTGTTTTAAACAAAACATTTTATTTTTTTGTGTCTAAAATGTCTATTAAATATGCCTCTTTAAAACAGAGTTAAAAGAAAACGCTTAACAATCTTAATGTAAATAATTACCCACAAAATATATTATTAAAAATATTGGCATCAAATTAATCTTAATAAAATCTTTGTACAAAATGTAATTAATTAATTCATTCGTTCATCTGNCGCCGGCGAACCTGGAAATTCCGAGGTCCGTAGCTCTTAAACGGCTGATCCGATCCGAAAATTCCACATATTGTACGGGAGCCCTCGACGAGACGAACCGAATGGTATATAATAATCCACAGACTGACTAAAAATAACGCCGATGAGACGACCGAAAAGCGGAGCACACACAACACACAACCTAACGGTATCGCGACACGTGGTCCACCTCCCTAACATATACAGCGGCTATACGGTTAACTTAAACTCTAGACAAATCCATTTTCGAATTGCCTCCTCAGCAATCCAATTGCCCCCTGTGGGGCGTGGCCCCACGTTGGGAATCACTGGTTTGTGGCTAGTGTGACACGGGATAGCATAGATTACGTTTGTGTTTTTGGAGAGTGGATACGGATATCCGGCACATCACTAACTGTCACCAACTAGATATCCATTACAATATCCTCGATGTAGTTTTTCTTTAATGCTACTGTTAGAAACAATTTTACTATCATGTGTTGAACCAGGCAACCGAGCAACAATATTTTTAATTTTCATCTTTCCATCACAGATTACCTGAAATATACATTTAAACATGCATCAATTATATAATTTCATTAGAGTTATCAGTTTGAGGTATCAAAGATATTATTTCATATTTATATTTTCATATGTCAAAGAAATACTCAAGAATATAACTGTTTCATAACAAGGCATAACAATGTTAGAAATATAAATAGGACATTCTATATTTAAGCTAGAATAAATTACAGTTTATTACATTTTATTGAAATTTCACTTAATTATGAGGTTAAGAAAATCACATATTTAAGTAAAGATGATATTGTATGTAAATAATTCTCATCTGGCAGTTAATAGAATAATAGGATTTTCTATTATAAAAAAGTTGAGCTCTACTGCTGTCAGGACACTTTATAGGAACATGAGTGCAATCAATTGCCCCAATTATTTCTGAAAAGTTATCCTTAGATAATAGAGAAAAATCGCGCGTAATAGTCGGAAGTTCAGATTGCGTCGGAAATACAATTTCGGCATTCTTTACATGTACTAATGCCTTTGAGACGTTTTGGATGGTTCTGATAACGATATAACAATAATACTAGTAGTGGTTTGACACATACTGATCACAAAATTAATTTCAGATGTTGAATAAATTAAAATTACAAATAAAAATTTATTCAATGAAATTATTTCAGATAACTAAATTAATTTTTCGATCACAAATCTTAATTTTATTTTAACAATAAGGTTGTATTAATTTTTAAATTTAAATTTTATTTTATTTTAACAATAAGTACTCACAAAATTATAATTACAAAATAATTTTTTTAAAATTGCAAATAAAAATTTGTTGAATAGAATTATTTCAGATCACAAAATTAATTTTTCAATAAATTTCCTAAATAAATTTGAGTGGCACTAAACACAAAATTAATTTTTCTAATCACAAAAATAATTTTTACTCAAAGGAAATAATCCGAATGTTGAGAATATTCAAGTAAATTTTTAAAATATGAAAGTATTAAATGTTTTAATATCGAATAAAATTAAAACACAATAATTGTATGAAATAATATAACACCAAAACGA